AGAGAATAAATCTTTGCATTAGTCCACCCAGGGCATGCATCTGCCTGAGAAGAGACTAGGATGTGTTCACAGAAGGAATTCATAGGGAAAGTACAATGTGACATTGAACCTTACTCATGCAAAATAGGATTTTGCAGAAAACCAAGGTATTGAGAAGTTTTAGCCAAGGTTCCTGCATTAGTTTCCTATGGCTGCCATAACAAATTACCACAAACTTAGTGGTTTAAAACAACACAGATTTGTTCTCTGACAGTTCTGGAGGTCAGAAGTCTGAAAGGAGTTGAAAATGTAGTTAGGGTTCCTTCTGGAGACTCCAGGGAAGGCAGTTCCTTTCACCTTTCAGCCTCTACAAGCACCCACATTCCTTGGCTCATGGCTGAATCACTCTGATCTCTGATTCCATAATCACATCACCTCCTAACCTTAACCCTCCTGCCTCTCTCTCATAGGGACACTTGTGGTTCCATTGGGGTCACCTGGATAATCCAGGATAATCTCCCCATCTGAAGATGCTTAACTTAATCATATTTGCAAAGTCCATTTTACTTTGTAAGGTAACCTAGTCACAGGTTCCTGGGATTTGGATGTAGCCGTCTTTCAAGGACCACTATTCTGTCTACCGAAGTACCCTAGAAAATAGAACCTGAGGTAAGGATTATGTGCTGATAGTTTTATTGTAATGTATGAATCTAGGGCAGTAAGAGTGAAGACAAAGGGAAGTAAAGCAGCAAGAATGCAAAGCAATGCAAGATGATGGTAACTGAGCAGACCACTGCCTCAGGATGAGCTGAGAGAAGACACAGCAGCTTGCTCAGCGGGTGAAGGGTTCAGCCCTGTGGGAGTCAGGTTATGCGGAGAAACTGTCTCTTGGAGCAGTCAGTTGAAGAAAGGAATGAGAGGGAATTTATCTGTCGGGTTCCCTCCCATCTCTTATTTCCCATTGATCAAAGGTTGCCCCATGTGGAGTGAATTCCTACACATTTCCGGGCCACATCATTTGGGCCCCTTTGAGAGTTTTTTGTAAGGCCTATGCCCTTCGGTGTGGTGTTGTGTCTGAGTCTGGAAGTGGTGGGAGGAACCAGATACGCCATGAGCATTTGGTCAGCCTCAGGAGGCCTACAGGGAAGTGACGGCCAAGACAGAGCCATCAGCTGAGGGGCCAGGTTGCAGGTGGAGCCAAAAGAATCCGAGAAAGCAGGTGAAGTCAGGGGAATCTGAGGAGGCCCCTGAGATGTATCCAGCACATTGCACCTCTTGAATCCCTCAGATCCCTCAGACCCTCCCTTTACATCCTCTTCCAGATCATAATATGAGGCATGCAGTTATTTTTTGAGAACAAGATGCCCTCACTTCTCCAATCTAGTTAGTCACAGAGTCCCTTCGTGGTTATAGCCAGTCTAAATTTCCAGTAAAACTGAAGGCAAGAAGATTAATAGAGCAAGCTACATTCCCCACTGTGCTGGTCCCAAGGCCATGACCAATATTCATCATTCCATCCTCTACCACCCATTCTAGGTCTCTCTCCCCCTTGGCCTGCATTTCTTCTGGTCTACATTACTAGAGCTTGGTGTGCCCTATCTGGTTAAATGGAAGATGATTTGACACCAACATTTTATTCTCTCCAGAGTGACTTCCCAGGGGTTGGAGCTCCAGTCTGCAAAATTGGCTCTGTGTTATGTCAAAAAATAAATTAGGCTATGCCTCCCATGTCCACTGCATAGATGAGGCTGCAGTAGGTACAGGGCCTCAGGATCAGGCACTGCTGCCTTTTGCAGCTCAATCATTGACAACCATATCAATCATGGTTCCGTGCTGGCTTAGTGTCACGGGACCAAAACAACTCTGCGAGCAGGAATGATCAGTAGTTATGCCATTGGGTAGAGAGGAGTTCATTAAGAGCTACTGGGAGGAGCCATAGGTGTTTTGGAAGGAACTCAAGAATGGAAAGCTGCAAGGGAAGCGGTTCTTATAAAATTATTTTAGCAGTAGCTACCGTTTACTGAGCATCTGTGTGCCAGGAGCTATATGAGGCCCCTTTTTTAAAATAGTTGATCGGAAGAACAATGTTGAGATAACCACAGGATCTGAGATTAAAAACTGCCTACACTTCAGTCACCTAATTCAATCAATATTTTTATTTTTTCCACATGCATATACAGTTCTTTCATATTCCTTATAACATTATAGATATAACTTAGAATATTAATTTCTACCTTTTCACTTTGATTTTTACCTTAAATAATATTTGCATTTTGTGAAAGTCACAAATTTATCTCCCTTTCTTCCAACTTGCTCTTCCCCCACATTGTAACCAATGTTAACAGCCTGGGAACATCTCTCTCTATGTTCATTTAAAATAATAATGGTAATAATAACAGCAAACCGTTACTCAATGCTTATTACAAGGTAGGCATTGTTTCGTTTTGGTTTTTTTTACCACATTACCTGCTATAGCTTATTTAATCCTCACAACAACTTTAAAAGAAGTACTAGTGTTATCCTCAGTTTTTACACATGAAAAAACTGAGGTCCGACATACACAAAATATTCAAAAATATAAAAAATACCTAGACACAAGCAAAGGAAGTTTTTTGGTCATTTAAAATAAATAGGAAATGTGGAACACACAGTACACATTTCATTGCAGTAGCTTTTCCAGTAGAGAATATCATTGCCATCTCTCTAAGTCAACAGGTCCAGATCTAACAGATATTTTAGGAGCAAACAATGCCCCATTGTTTGAAGGTACCATCATTCATTGGCCCTATTGATGGGCATTTATGGTGCATCCACTTTTTTTGGCCACCACAAATGATATAGCAATAAATATCCTAGAATATAAATCTCTAGTTGCCAGCACTTTTATTTCTATAGGATAGGGTCTATGGGCATTAGTGCTAAATCTGGAATCCTCCATATGAAATGATAAGCACAGCCGTGAGCTGTGCCAAAGCATCAGACTCTTGAAATGTGTGAGCTCTCCAGAGGTCAGGGCGAGAAGATGTACCATTTACACGGCCAAGGGGCTGGTAGCCAAAGAAGATACACAGCCAAGGCAGCCCTGAGCTGGCCTCCTCCAGGGCTCTTCTCTTAGGTGGAGGCCAGCTCAGGGCCCAGCCTCTGTACATATCCCAGTCAATTCACAATTTCTTTGGACATCTCTTGGGCATAGAGAGCTGTAGCAATCACACTGCCTGAGTACCGAGGTATCCACCTTCTAGTCTCAGAGTGTTCATTCCAAAGATAGAAGGGAGGAAAAAAAAATGAAACTACCTATTTCCTCTTTCTGCTTCCCTAGGAACTCTGGCTGTCCCTGGGGAGGCTCACATTAGTCTCTGCATCAGATCCTACATTCTTGTAGCTGTGTCACTGGATAAAGAACATCAGATGGGGAAAAAATGAAAGAAAACATAAAAGGTAAATGAAAGAGGTGACAGATAGTGGTTGGAGTGAAAGAATAGATGTTCTTGACCTGCCTAGTAGAAGAGAAAAGCACTTAAATAAAGTGTTTTTCTCAAATGTCTATGGTAAATAAATGTTTACAATAGTCTGATATGTAGAAAAACATGCATGTGTTCAAGTAGGAAAGCATCTTCAAGTAACAAGACAAGTTTAAAAACCGATTTCAGTAATTTAAAGGGCTTATTTTTCTTGCATAACAAGAAGCCCAAAGGTAAGCAGCTGCTGGGTCAGCAACTCAGCAATATCAGGCCCAGTGTCTCTGTGTGGTCGCCAGGTCCAAGTGGAAGATGCAATAGTAATGTTGCTAGATGTTCCCAAACTCCCTTGTATAAGGCTCAGACCATTTTGTGTTCTCTAAAATACAACATATATCTTAGACAGAAGATAAATATTCCTAACACATAAAGAACTTCTAAAACTTGAGATGAAAAGCAACAACAACCCTATAGATAAATGGGCAGAGTTTATGAATGGTTTCACAGAGGGGAAATGCAAGTGACCCCAGTGCAAATATATTATAAGAGCTCAACTTCCTCTGAATATGAAAAATGCAAGATAGCACTATACTGAGATATCATTTCTCAGCTATCAGATTGGTAAAAATCCATAGTCCAACAACATTCTGTTGATAAAACTTTCAGGAAACAGGCTCTCTCCTAAGTTGCTGGTGGAAGTGCAAAAGGATACAATCCCATGGAGGGAAATTTGGACCATCTAGCAAAATTACAAGTTCACATAACCTTTGACACAGCAATCCCACTTCCAGGAATCTATCTCAAAAAGTAAACTGGTAAAAATATAAAGTGACGTAGTATAAGGATATCCATTGCCAGTAATTGTAATAGTGAGGGGATGGAAACAATCCAGATGTCCATCAGTAGGGCACTGGTTGAATACATTATGGCGCGCCCATACAATGGAGTATTATACAACTATAAACATAAATTACAAGGCTCTCTACATACTTACTTGAAATAGTTTCCAGGATATATTGTTAAGACAAGCAAGTTAGAGAACAGGGTTTATAGTATGCTATCTTTCATTTAAGAAAGGAGGGTAATATGAATATAGAAACATATATACTTATCTTATCAAAAGGTAATAATGGAAGAATAAACCAAAACCCAATAAAAATGGGGGACCTATAAGGAGAGAGAAGGAACATGACAGAAGGGCAGAGATGGAACCTAGACAACTGCATGTAACTTGCATAGTTTTAAATTTGTACCCAAGTAAATGTTTTAAATAAAATTAAAGTTAAAGACGAAGAGGAAACTTATAAAAGTTGGAAAAATGGAAACTCATAATGATAATGGCATATTAGATTGGTGGCTTAGCCACCCAAAGAAGAGTTGTTACAAATGACTCTATAAAACAGTATGTTGACAGTATGTCCTTAAAGGGGTAGATCCTAAGGACTAAAAAGAACCATGAAGAAATCTTAAACTGCATTCAGTGGTATATCAATCAGGATAGACTAGACTATGTTCTGTTATAATAACAAACCCAAGTCCTGGTGCCTTCAACGACAAAAGTTTCTTTTCTCCCATGCTACATTTTCATTGTATGTTGGCTTCAGCTCTGATCTGTATCATCTTCCCTCTGTGACCCAAGCAAGAAGGGAAGAGCATCTGTCCAAAATATTTTGCCAGTCATTGAGTCAGAAGACATCTCTCTGGAGGTGACCATCACTGTTACTCCACTCCAATTTTATTGGCCAAAGAAAGTCACATAATCTGAGTTCAAAATGTCAGGTATGTATAATCTTCTCTCAGCAAGAAGCACTGCAGAGATTGGCACCAAATAGGGGTGAACAGTAATGCAATCTCACACAGAGTTAGTAGATTACATTTTTGTTTTGGAACTATCACACGCATGTTGTAGGATCAACAAATTAGTACTTTTGTTAATGTCATTACAAAGATCTTCAGCATAAAAGACAAAAGACGCAAGTATAAACCCAAACAACTGGGAATTGGAAATACCAATATGAACTCATAATTGATCTTTCTAAAAGAGAGGAAAGCATCCTGTCAAATGAAAAGGTTTAGAAGCAATGGCAACCTTGTAGCAATGAATAAGTACTGTGCCTAAATTGTGATCTAAAAGCCATTTTCTTCTAAAAGGAACCAGGGCACACCTGACCTACCCCAGACCTACTCTACCCTGCTTACCCTCATTACTCTGGACCTCAGTCACTTGCCTAGCTTCCTGGCCAGAGCATCCCTGTCTAGGCTCCCACTGTTCTTCTGATTGTAAATCCATGGTACTATGTAAATATATGTTGCTGCTACTACATCCACAAGAGTGAGGATAGCCCTTAGCAGCACTGACTGATAGAGATAATGATGCAATTCACTGCATGAATTGGACCCACAGAAGTTATGGCTTCCCCATCAGCCCTTTGGAGGGCCCATTTAGCACCACCGAGATGCGTCAGAATATAACACCATTTAGCACAAATGTCAAACAAAGATATGAGGTGAGAAGTAACCACTAGATAAATTGCTTGCCTTTCTTTCTTCCTGGTGGATTGTTCGGAAGCACAGCAGTTTTTAATGACGTCCAGTGACATCAACCAACCACCAGCGTTTTGTGTTTTTGCAAAGCTCAAGGCAACTCAGTAATTACCCCTTAGTGATTATTCTCCCTCCTTTCATGTCTCTCTTGCATTCTTCCATGTATCTTGCTTTCCTGGGATTGTTCATCCCAATAAATTGCTAGAGAATAAATGTTTGCATCACATTCTATTTTCCACCAAACTCAGGCTAAGGCAGTTGTTACTAGAAGTGGCTCTTAAGAAGCAGACCCTCAGGATGGGATTTTAGTGCTGGATTGTCTGCCCGACTAAATGCAATAAGCCTCCCATCGCTATTGGTTAGTGGAGTCTCCGATAAGTAGTGATATTACAATTACTAAAGCTGTCACCTGTGGATAATTTTCATGAGGTGAAATTTTCAATTATCAGGTGGCTTCTGCACTTGATTAATAAAGGGGTGATAACAATTATAATGACTGTGGCATGAGTAACTGCTTTTGAGGGCATTAGAAACTTTGAAATAAGAAACGAATGAGCCCAGGACTGTTCATTGCCACCTTAAGGCACCCTGTGAAAGCCAGAGGGCTGGTCTAGTAGCCTTAAAGTTTTCATCTCCTACCCCTGCAGGTCAGATCATGCTGAAAATCAGATCAAGGATATGATTATAAAGGGTCAGAACTACAAAGAATACTAAATGTGTGACCATAAGAAATATCTATGTCAAAGTAGAGCCCTGATGGAAAAAGAGTGGGGTTCTGAGACATAGGATGGGGACATTGGGTAGACGAGCTTCAGATTCTCTAATCAACATTCCTCAGAATTACCCTGACTGGAAAAAACAGCCCCATCCATTTTATCAGAGAACAGCCTCCCCTTTCTGTATACCAGAGTAATCACTGACCTTACCTGAAGTAAATACCTCATGCTATGAAGCCTGGTCTTCTTAAGATCCTCTTCTACTCATCTTACTGTTCCCAGGCTATAATCGGGGGCAGATCCCAGCACAGCCTGAGTGGGGAATTATAATCCCACTGCAGGAGGAAATTGCCTACACCCAAAATAAGTTTTAGGAACTGGCTGAGTTTTACCAACAGGAATCAAGAAATATATGTGGGAGTGGATCTTTAGGATATTAGACTAGGAGAAGGGGCAGAATATGGGGCTAATGTATGAGGGCACACACCTGTGTGTGTTTTGACAAGGGTATTTGAAGCCAGTCTAGTTACCTAGAATGGTTCTTTGAAAGTTGGACATGACAATGACATACTGTGAATGAAGTAATAATGTCAGAACCGCCTTGGCAGAATACTGAAGAAGCCAAAATATTCAGGGAAATACTAATGGTAGAATGGACTTATGAGTAAGACCTGAGAACCCATCACCGGACTCTGTGCTCCCGGAGGACACAGGCAATGGTTCATTCACTAAGACAACAGAGATTTCACCAGTGAGAGGGGCACTGGCATCTTCGAAGGCCAGGTTGACGATGAGAGATATTACCATGGAACTAGGCTTCCTAATATCAATAGGAATTGATATTTTCGGGATTCTGGAATGGCAAAAAAACCATGTGGCAGCACCTAACACTAGGGCAAGAGGCCTGATTATTATAATTGGCAGAGGGACTTCCCTAGTGGCACAGTGGTTAAGAATCCGCCTGCCCATGCAGGGGACACGGGTCCGAGCCGTGGTCCGGGAAGATCCCACATGCTGCAGAGCAACTAAGCCCATGTGCCGCAACTACTGAGCCTGCGCTCTAGAGTCCGCAAGCCACAACTACTGAGCCCACATGCCACAACTACTGAAGCCCGTGCGCCTAGAGCCCGTGCTCTGCAACAAGAAAATCCACGACAATGAGAAGCCCACGCACCACAACGAAGAGTAGCCCCCGCTCACTGCAACTAGAGAAAGCCTGCACACAGCAACAAAGACCCAACACAGCCATAAAATAAATTAACTAAATCTATTTATTTAAAAGAAAAATAATAATATTTGGCAGAAGGCCAGAGTGGCACTCAGGGCACCTTGACCTGCATTTGTGGCATTGGCTAGTAGACGTTGGTGTTCATAGTAGTTAGGCAGATGGACAAGAGTGTTGCTCAATTTTTATAATGAAAAAGTACTGATAGCTGGAGAGCAAAAGGCTAATACCTGTCCTTCATCCAGTTTCAGATCTAAGTCAGCTCACAAACACTGAGACCATAGGCGGAGGGATTGGATCCCCCTAAAGAAGGACCCTCTAATGCCATTTCAAGTATATATAGGAAGCAGTTCCCCAATCTTTCCCCGAAGAGACCTGTTGTCTTTTGCCAGGGTAATAGTCTGCTGGGGGGAAAGTCTATGAATCCACCCCTTGTTTATTTCTCTGGTTCCCAGTGATAACTTTGGTTAGAATGCATAAATGGGATGAATATCTTTAAGAGATCCTTCTCATTGGTTCCCTGGCTGATGGGGTAAAAGCCATTTTTATAAGAAGGGCCATGTGGAAGCTATCTTTTGTCCTGGCCAAGATAGTAAATCAGAAGCAATACATCATTTCGAGAGGAATTACAGAAATGAATGCTACTACCGAAGACTTAAAGGATGCAGGGATAGTAGCTCCCATCACATCTCTATTCAATTCACTTTTCTAGCCTTTGCAAACCCCAGACACTTCTTGGAGAATGGTGGTGGAAAATTGCTGTGAACTTACTCAGGTGTCCTCGCTTGCAGCACAGCTGCCTTGCCAGTTGTGGTATCTCTGACATTTTATATGTGGCTGTTGATAGGCTGTTGATATTTTTTCTTTTATCTCTAATAATAGGAAAATCAAAAGCAGGTCTCCTTTACATGGCAAGGAAAGCAATCGACCTTCTCTATCGTTCCTCTGTTGAGAGATGTATTGCAGCAAAAGAGGTAGGTGCCACCAGAGTCTGGATCACCTGTTCATGTCATTTACTTGTGCCCTCTGGATTTGGTCAGGCCGAATCCTGAATGGAGCATATTTTTCATACAGTGGATTACTGCTGTATCCACCCAACCTTATGACTCATTGGCTCCAATAATACTCAGATCACAGGGAACATTTGTGGTTACATAGTCACTTGGTGTCCCATGGTCAGACATTAGTCACTGGTAGAGCCCAGAATCAAGGCATGGGCTTGCTGCAGAACTCCAGGAGTCTGTGCTGCATCTCTCTTACTGAAGTTTGTTGAAAGCCCTGCAGCATCATTACCTGCCATAGTTACCTCTAGTACCGTCAGAGCTGCTGGCTCACATAGCCTAAGTGTCAGGGAAGCTGCCTGGACAAGCTGGAGAGCCCTTTTTGGCTTCGAGCCTCGCTGGAAACTCTCATCCCTCTGAGTCACCCAATAGGACTTGGACTTGGTTCTAGAAGCATGAATATAATGTCAACTGTAGCCAAAAATGGGCTGCTGCCACATTACAGCCCCAGAAATCATGGTGGAGGAAATCCTCCCAGTGGGCAGAGGCGCCAGCAGTATGTTGGCTTAATGTGTGTGCAAATGTTGACTCTTTGTCAATAGTGAATGGCTCAGCTTATTGGTCAGGGACCTGGAAGGAAAAAGACTACAGTCCATATACCACCTCCAGTGTCCTAACCTGCCAGGTGTCCCTGATCTGGCCTTTTAGCTGACATTTCACCAGGGCATTCCACCATTTTTTCTCAGGCTGGTAATCCTTGCTGATGAGGGACATGAAAGACTGTGTATCTTTTTTTTTTTTTTTGCGGTACGTGGGCCTCTCACTGCTGTGGCCTCTCCCGTTGCGGAGCACAGGCTCCGGACGCGCAGGCTCAGCGGCCATGGCTCACGGGCCCAGCCACTCCGCGGCATGTGGGATCTTCCCGGACAGGGGCATGAACCCGTGTCCCCTGCATCAGCAGGCGGACTCTCAACCACTGCGCCACCAGGGAAGCCCAAGACTGTGTATCTTTTGTTCGAGCTCAGTGGGTCATTCCCGCTTGGTAGTAAAATGCGCTCTTTGGTTCGGTGGTAATGTAGTGTAGGATTCTACGATGATAGATTGGGCATTTTTTCAGTCCTTATGTGGTGGTGGATGGTGATAGATACACTGAATAAAATCAGGAATGAGGAAATCTGGGGAAGAAGTACATGAATAAAGTTATGGGAGTAGGCACAAAATATCTAGTTGACATCAGCTAGCCTTTCTCCTTGGCCTCTGCAGTGCTTGCAGAGTGGGCCACGAGCAAAGCAGCCACAGTGGCAGGAATGGAGGCTACACCTGTGTCCCAAAACATGGAGTCCTTTTCATCAAAGCTGCCCTAGCTTTGATGCTGAATGCCTAACGTGCGAGCAGCAGGGACTGATTCTGAGCCCTCATTATGGTCCCCTTTGTGGGGAGGTCAGCTAGCCTCCTGGGGGCAAGTAGATGATATCAGACTCCATTCTTCCTCACCAGAATCACCCCGTACTCAAGCTATGAGGAATTCCCTGGGGGTCCAGCGGTTAGGACTCCACCCTTCCACTGCAGGGGGCACAGGTTTGATCCCTGGTCGGGGAGCTAAGATCCCGCAAGCCGCACAGCACGGCCAAGAAAAAAACAAATCCATCTCTCAAAGTATAGGTTTGTTTCATCTTCCCACAATGCCTCCACCAGCACCACCATCTGAGGGTTGACAGAGTGCTTGATCTATAAGATATATGATATCCTACGCTACTTTGTACGAGACCAGAGAGAACGTTTTACTACACATGAAACGTTGGGCTCAAAAACCACAAGTTACACCAGTTTTCCATGTACTTCATCACACCGGGTTGACCAGCCTGATAAAAAGGGTAGAAAGGGCTGGTGAAGTCTCAGCTAAAAGGCCATTTCAGGGATACTTCAGCACTAGGTGCAGTATACACACTGAGCCAGAGCCAGGCTATGGTGCTAAGGTGCACGGGTCCAGAAACCAAGCGGTGGAAGCAGCCTTGGCCTTCTCAGCCTCACTCCCAGTAGACATGCCAAATTTTAGCTTCATGTTCTTGCCACCGTGGATTCTGTTGGACTAGTGCCTGGGAACCCAGAGGGGGATGCTTTCACCAGGGTTGTAGTAAGGATTTCACTGCCCTGGAAGTTGTAGAACTAAAATAGGTAGTAGAGGAGTGAGATGGTGAATATGTATTTTGACCGTTGGACCAGCTGTGGCGGTAGGGTTTGTAGCTTGGTTTGCTAAACCTCTGTAGGTCTTTTTAGGAGATTGCAACTGAACATTTCCTGAAAGAATTGGACTTGTACTTCCACTCCTAGGAAAGAAATGAGGACGATTTATTTCACGTGAGATCTGAATATTGTAGGAGGGTAGGAGCATGTCTGCGAGGCAAAGGGGTGGAGGAACCAGACCCAGTTAGTGTACTAGCGCACATCTCCTTGGCCCGTCTCCACCAGTGGTCCTTGCACACTTGCCTTGCTTCCTGGCCAATGCAGCCCTGACAACGCACACTGTTGTCTTGATTGTAAAGTGGTGCCCACAACCACTGCCACCAGCACACACTGGGGAGTCCCCATGCACAGCAGTGACTGGTAGGGAGAGACCACCTTCACTGCACACTGATGGGTCTGGGCACGTGGAAACCCTGGCTTCCCCTACAGCTGTGACCAGAGCCAAGAAACACAACTGGGAGAGGCAGAAGGGACATGCAGGTGTGTTTGCTCTCACACTATAGCATGTGAGAGCAAATGGGAAAGAGACAGAAGGTGAACTGCTGCCCTTCCTCCCTACTGCCAGGCTGTTCTGAGATACCATGGTTTCACACCTCTTATCTCAAGAGGTGCTGTCCAGCCAAGCAATTGGTTGTGTTTTCTGTGAAGCCAGGGCAGCCTGGGGACACCTCCCCTCGTACTCCATCTCCCCCCACTGCCTCACTTCCATTGTTCACCTTCCTTGTTTCCCTGGAATTGCACTCTTCCCAGTTAAGCGTTAACGCGTATGTTTTTGCCTCAGCCTCTGTCTTCTAGTGAACCTGGACCAAGACACAGGGCTTCTTGGAAAAATGACTGATTACTGGTCTGCAGAAAGAAATGCACGTGATGAGCCTGGGACATCTTATTGTGCGAGACACTAATGGTGTCATATCAAAAGGACACAGGAGCAAATTTGAAGGGGCTCCAACTGGCCAAAGGTGGGACAATTTAGGCATCAAAAGAAATATTGACTACAGTGGATTTAAACACATCAAGTACTTTTTAAATCATGAGTTCTTAATGATACCAAGAGAAAAAATCATTGGTAGCTAGTACACCAACTCAGTTCTGAAAGTTGATCAAGAAAAGAATTATGTGTCTATTCTGTCTTTTCTGTGAAAAAGTATACTCTAGGGGGACTAAATAGCTGATGAGCTAAATTCTTCATAGACTAATTCTGCCTAATAGATGCAGAGGAATGGTAGATTTAGAAAATCACCTGTGATGATTAACTTTGTGTGCCTACTTGACCAGGCCATGGGGTGCCCAGAGACTGGGCTAAACATGATTTCTGGATGTGACTGTGAGGATATTTCTGGATGAGATTAACACGTGAATCTGTAGACTGAGGAAAGCAGATTGACCTCCCCAATATAGGTGGGCATCATCCAGTTCATTAAGGGCCTGAATAGAACAAAAGAGCAGAGAAAGGAAGAATTCATTGCTTCTTCTGCCTGAGTACTTGAGCTAGGATATAGGTTTCCTCCTGCCCTCAGACTGGGATTTGCACCATCGGCTCCCATGGGTCTCAGGCCTTCGGACTCAGATGGAATAGCATGACAGGCTCTCCTGCATCTCCAGCTTGCAGATGGGAGATCATGGGACTTCTCAGCCTCCATAGTCACGTGAGCCAATTCCCCATAATAAATCCCTTTACAGAACCCTGCTGGTTCTGTTCCTTTGGAAAGACCCTGGCTAATACTTCGCCATTTTACAAACCCGAATGAAATAATAGATTTGGCAGTGATTTTCAATAAACACTAGCATAATTAGATCAAAGGTTGATAGGAAACTTGATAGTGGAGAGATGAGGCTGACATGTCTGAAGCCAGTGATCATTCCCAACATTGCAGAAAGGGAGTGAAGCAGATATGCTCTTCTCATAATGTGGTGCAACAGAAGGCACCACCCATGAATATGGAGCCTGAACCTAATCGAGCCTTTAAATCTAACAGTCAGCTTACAGGAAATTCAGGGAACACGGGAACAAGTTAAACAACAACGCAAAGGTGCAATCAGGCAAACCCAGAATGTGAAAGATTCTATGATAGGACACATGACCCACTTTTTCCAAAAAGATAATTGCGATGTATGAATTTTGGCTTCTGATTGGAACAAACCAAGTATTAAAAGACATTTTTGAGACAATGGGGGAAGTTTGAGTATACACTAGGAAGAGATAGTGCTATTAAGGGGTTTTTGTTAATTTTATTAGGTATGATACGGCATTGCTGTCATGTTTTTTAAAGTTCTTGTCTAGTATAGATGCATATTGACCTATAGATTCCTGGGATTTTCTTTAAAGTACTCCAGAAAAAAAAAAAAAGTGGGAAGGTATAGATGAAACAATAATGGAAAATGTTGGTAATTGTTGAAGTTGAGTGTTGGGTACATAGGGGTTTATTATACCATTCTCTCTGCTTTTTTGTGTTTGTGCTGGTTATTCTATTTTTTTGCCCCTAGATCTATTCTCTGTTCTACTATTCCTTGCTCTGTGCCCTAAAGGCCAATCTTGATAGATGGAATCCCCTAGACTTCTGTGTTGTCTGGTTTCTGGGTGGGCTCAGCCAGTGGAGGTCACCAACAGCAGATCAGCAGTGGGAGTGACAAGCAATCAGGGTATTTATTCCCCCTCGCTTCCTCTCTGCCTTCCTGAGGTTCTAGTAACTCTGTTCCGCTACAGCAGTGGTATTAGTTTGCTGGGGCTGCCATAACAAGTGACTGTAGACTGGGTGGCTTAAACAACAGAAACCTCTTTCTCACGGTTCTGGAAGCTAGAAGTCCAAGATCAAGGTGTTGGCAGGGTGGGTTTCTTTTTTTGTTTGTTTGTTTTTGTTTTTGCGATACGCGGGCCTCTCGCTGTTGTGGCCTCTCCCGTTGCGGAGCACAGGCTCCGGACACGCAGGCTCAGTGGCCATGGCTCACGGGCCCAGCCGCTCCGTGGCATGTGGGATCCTCCCGGACCGGGGCACAAACCCGTGTCCCCTGCATCGACAGGCGGACCCTCAACCACTGCACCACCAGGGAAGCCCAGGGTGGGTTTCTTTTGAGGCTTCTCCCTGGTTCGCGGATGGCTGCCTTCTCCCTGTGTCTTCACATGATCTTCCCTCTATACATCTCTGTGTCCGTATTTCCTCTTCTTATAAGGACACCAGTCATACTGGATTAGGGCCCGCCCAAATGACCTCATTTTAACTTACCTCTTTAAAGATCTATCTCCAAATGCAGTTATATTCTGAGGTAGTGGGGTTTAGGACTTCAACGTGTGAAATTCAGGGGAGACACAATGCAGCCCATAACAGCAGGGGTCAGTACACTTTTGCTATAATGAGCCAGACAGTAAGTATTTTAGGCTTTGTGGGCAATACAGTCTTGATCACCGCTACATAACTCTGCCATTGCAGCATAAAGCAGCTACAGACAATATGTAAATGAATGAGCACGGCTGCGTTCCACTAAAACTTCACTTACAGAAATAGGCAGCAGGCCAGGTTCGGCCCACGGGCCACAGTTCACTGACCCCTGCACCTGATGACAGCTCCTGTCGGTCAGCCCTCTTCTCACGTGCTAACTTCTCAATGGTTCCTGCCCTTTCAGGCTAAGGGGTGGTAACAGTTCCCGCTGTTGCTAATCCCAGAGTGCCACCCTTCCCTTCTCTGGTTCCACGAACCTGATCACACTTTCCTTACCCCCTACATTCAGTTCTCTTTGGCTAAATGCCTTTTGGGTGTAACACTTGTTTCTTCAGGACACTCATTGAAATAGCGTATGTTTGAAATTTCCCATAGAAGAATCATAATGAAAGAAAACAACAGATTTGAAAAGCAAAATTGATACGACTTGGTTCTTGGCTCTGTAGACCAGGGGCTGGATGGAGAACCTGGCAGGTGCTCAAGGTGAGAACCAAGGCGGGGCCGGTGCAGGCTGGGGGCACGCCCAGGACCTGACCAAGCCCAAAGACAGGCCAGGGGACCGTCCACCAGCCACACGCTGCCCTGGCCACCACCTGCGGCCGGGCATGGACAGTCACCCCTCAGCAGGCCCAGTGCAAGGATGCGGAGGCCACCGCCTCCCCCTGCTGCCACGTGTGTGGCCACAGTCCTCCACACGCCCAAGCCCTGTCTCCGAGAGGAGTGGGACAGTATGAGAGGCTGAGAGGGTATTTGTTTGTTGGCTTGTTTTACTTAAGGAGGCGAACCATGATTTCTAAAAACTTGCATTAAAGTAAGTTGACAGGGGCTTCCCTGGTGGCGCAGTGGTTGAGAGTCCGCCTGCCGATGCAGGGGAAATGGGTTCGTGCCCCGGTCCCTGAAGATCCCACATGCCGCGGAGCGGCTAGGCCCGTGAGCCATGGCCGCTGAGCCTGCGCGTCCGGAGCCTGTGCTCCGCGGCGGGAGAGGCCACAGCGGTGAGAGGCCCGCGTACCGCAGTAAGTTGACAGGATTGGACTAGAAAATATTTTATCCAGCAGCTGGGGGCCTGTGAAAAAAATCTGGGTAGATATGGACAAATGAACTACATTTTCTCTGCAGCCCCCAGAGAACTGTGGGTAATTTGAGGACTGGCTCCACCTGTAACGGGCCTGTCGACTCCGGCGCCAGCGAGAAAAAGGAGCCGAAGCGTCACGAGCTGAAATCGGCTCCCGGGGGTTTCCGATGAAGGGGTGTTTCTGGGCAAACCCCGAGAGCCACAGAAGCCGAGGAGAGCTTCACCGAAAGGTCCAGAGGCGGGCTACTACCCACTGCGGGAGACGGTCCTCAGCCCTCGCCGAACGCTTCCCGCCAGAGGGCCGGGGAGGAACCTCCTGCGCCATGACTGCACCGCGCTCCGCCAGCCGCCGGGGCCCCCGGGAAATGAAGCCAGGCAGCTGCCAGCCGGCCTCCTAACTCCTCCTTCCTCTCCGGTAAGGATGGCGCTCTCCTCGCGTGTTCCTCAGGAAATTGCACATATTTCCCTGCCTTTGGTGCGCGCTGGCAGCGCAGCTGTTTGCCCCGTTCACCTGCCTTCTGAGGCCAAGGGGAGAGGAAACGAGGAGGGTGAGCTCATGGGAAAGGGAAGCAAAGCAGGGCGAGGGGCAGAGCCGAAGGGCATCATTTATTTAGGTGAGAGCGTGGGCCCCTCCCCTACTGAGGGGTCTCAATCCCGGATATGCTTGTAAACGTGTCTCCAAAACTCGTGCATTCATCCAGAACAATCCGGTGGTCAAAGCGCTGCCCAGGCTGGGCACTCAGGGGGGCCTTAGTCCGGGTGGCTCTGACAGAATACCGTAGACTGGGTGGCTTATAAACGGCAGGAGTTTATTTCTCAGGAGTTCTGGAGGGGCTTCCCTGGTGGCGCAGTGGTTGAGAGTCCACCTGCCGATGCAGGGGACGCGGGTTCGGTCCGGGAGGATCCCACGTGCCGCGGAGCGGCTGGGCCCGTGAGCCATGGCCGCTGAGCCTGCGCGTCCGGAGCCTGTGCTCCGCAACGGGAGAGGCCACGGCAGTGAGAGGCCCGCGTACCGCAAACAAACAAACAAAAAGAGTTCTGGAGGCTGGAAGGTGGGGATCAGGGTGCCAGCAGGGTCAGGGCCTGGTGAGAGCCCTCTTCTGGGTTTTCACTTTGGGTTTTCACATGGCAGAGAGGGTGAGAGAATTTTCTGGAGGCTCTTTTAGAAAAAAGGGCACTTAGCCCATTCATGAAGGCTTCCTGAAAGCCCCACCTCCTAATACCATCACATTGGGGATTAGGATTTCAACATAGGGATCTTGGGACAGCCACAAACATTCAGTCCATAACAGAGGAATACAAAAGAAATTATTAAAAGGAACTAAAATTATGTCACTTCTTCATTCAGCCAGCATGTATTGAGTGCCTGATTTGAGCAGGTTGGTGTTTTAAGCGTAAGTGGTAGAGTGATGATAAGATGACAAGGTGGATGTGAGATAATAAATGATACATAGGTACATGTCTATATACACACACATACATATGTGTATACTTTATGTTTTTGCGTGTGCATACATAAAATACATGCATACTATACTCATATTCATGTGTATACGATACATATATAACATGAGGTAAGGATGAGTGCTTTGAAGAAAAATAGAACATGGGCAGGGGAGAGAAAACATCAAGGGGTCAGTAGCTCTGTTCTGCTGTAGCAGCAACTGCACACTTTTTCCGTAAAGGACCGGACAGTCAATAGTTAAGGTTTTGTGGGCCACATGGTCTCTGTCGCCACTACTCTGCCCTGATTACCCCACTCCTTGGGGCTTTGGGAAAATTACTTAACCCCTGTGGTGCTGCCATTTCCATGTTATAAAATGGGACTCAAAAGAGTCCCTACTTCTGGTGGTTGTTGAGAGATTACATGAAATAATATCTTGAAAGTGCTTTGCACCAAATAAACATGAAAGGCTCCTGCTTTTGTTACACCTCCCACTCCCCAAGTCTGAAGGGGAGTAGGGCCATCGGGTCACCTGTCCTGCCCTCACACTTGGTGCTAGATGTGCAGACCCCTCCCTGCCTTACGGGTCTTGGTATCAGAAGAGGCCCAACCCCCGATTGACAACCTGGTCTGAAGCAGCCCCTCGAGGAGAAGGCAGATCCCCACACAGATATTAGCTTGATTCACCTGGTTTACTCCCTCACAGCAATCCTGTCCCTTTGATAGAAGAGGACACTGAGGGTCATGGATGACGAGAAGTGCTCAGTTGTCTCCATGACACATCATGATGCCTCACAGACAGGGAAGGGTTCCAGCTGAAACAGTAGCAGACCACGTGGTCCAGAGATGGAAAAGAAGGGGTCCCTCCTCTGTTGCCATCCCTTCCCCACCAACATTTAACCTGCCCCTGAGACTCCCCAGGATCTGTGGGATCATGCCCTTCCCGTGTTCCCTACTGCAGTTTCTGTGCACACCTTTCTCTCGCTCCATCAACAAGAGCGCTGCCTCGTGCTCCATCTCCTCGTGGGCCTCCTAATCTGACTAATACATTTGAATTAATGAATAATAAAAGCTTATTTGACGATGGGAAGACCTCCCAGGGAGCATTTACGTTTCAGCAACGTTTTCATTCATTTGAAGGAGGATGAGTCCCAGGGGTGTTGTCAGGCACCCTGGCAGCCCATGTGAAGATATTTCATTGGTGAGGAAGGGGATAGGAAAGATTTGTCCCATTTTGACAGATGAGGAAACTGAGGCTCAAAGAGTTTATAAATGTAGTAATGCCTTCCTATTTAGATCATGCCAAATTACATGCCACTGAAATCAGGACTATAAATGCCATCACATATATCAAGCATACAGTACAGTAAATATTGTTTATCTGCCCTTCCCTCTTTCCAATCCGCCAGTCTCAAGCTGGAAGAAATGCTTAGGTAAGGTGAGGAAGGACAGTTGAAGCAGGACATTGAGGAGGGGGAGTTCCAGTTGGATACGGAGAAGGGGAAAATGAAGGCTTATTTGCACAGAGGTATTGCACGTTCATCATATCACAGTTTAGAACGTGCCAGACCTAACCCATTTCCCGTAAATACATTTACTGACATCTACAACCCCCACTGAGAAATCTATTTCTGATCTCCTTTTGAAGACTTACATAATTCCAGGTGAGCGTGGCCCAGTGGCAAGATATTTCCAAGGAAAGGGAGGGAACCTAATTCTCTTCTTGGTTTCATCTTGTTCTGGAACACTTGTGAGGGCTCAAATCCAAGGGGAGAAAAAATGCCCTACTACTTCAGACAGCACAGCAAGCATAAAGAGAAAGCAAAAATTTCCATGTAAAAGGAGGCAGGTACAAGCTCCCTCATGTTAGCACCACTTTACAAATTTACCATTTGCTTGAACTTGGAGGGACATAGGACTTTTCAAGGGCCAAGCGCAGGTGGAACAAAATGAATGTTTCAGTCTTATCCTGCAAAGGTTTAAGAGGAGCAGTGGAAGAGAGATGGATGGATGGATGGATGGGTAAATTGGTAGGTGGATAGATAAATTGGTGAATGTACGGTGTGGGGGTTGGGGCAAGTGGATATGTAGGTGGATAGATGGGTGGATGTATATAGGTGGATAGATGGGTGGATATGTAGGTGGATAGATGGGTGGATGTATAGGTGGGCAGATGGCTGGATGTATAGGTGGATAGATGGGTGGATGTATAGTTGGATAGATGGGTGGATGTATAGGTGGGAAGATGGGTGAATGTATAGGTGGATAGATGGGTGGATATGTAGGTGCATAGATGGGTGGATGTATAGGTGGATATGTAGGTGGATAGATGGGTGGATGTATAGGTGGGAAGATGGGTGGATATGTAGGTGGATAGATGAGTAGATGGGAAGAAATGGACAGAGGGATAGGATGGATGGATGGATAGTTGGATAGATAAGTGGGTAGATGCGTGTGTGTGTGTGCGTGTGGTGGGTAGATAGGTGGGTTATTGGATGGGAGGACAGTATAGATGGATGGAGAAGTGCATAGGGAGAAATGGATGAATGGCTGGATGGATGGAAATGTAGATGAATGGATGAGTGGGTGATGAATGGGACGATAGGGGAGCTAGGTGGCTAGCTAAATCCTGTTCATGTTTGTGTTTTGTTTCACCTATATGGTATTTGAATTAGTTGTTCTAATTTTAGGTACAGAAAAATGTATCTAAAAATCTGGATTTCTGGCCTCTCCTGAAAAATCAGAAGCTCTGGCAAAACCTGGCCTACATTCCTTCAAGACAACAACTGACTGGAACTGAGTAACAGCTGTCCCCTTTAGATGGGTGTGAAGGCATCAGTCCACCAGAGTCCCCACCACTCCACAGTAGCTCTGACACCTGCCAACTTCATTCTGTGACATTATCTACCCGCCCAGTAGGCATTTGCTAATTCATCAAAGGACCTAGTAAATCTAGGCCCTTTACTAAGTAGACACATGGTAAGTTTATTATTCAGCGACTCTGCCCTCAGGTCCATGATAAGAGGCTCTCCATGTCCCTTCTCATTACTTCCAGTGTCACAATCCTAATCTTAGAGGATGGGGACGGAAGGGCTTGCCTCACCACACACCTCTTTAGTATGGAGATCTAACCTCTTAGCGTAACATGAAAAGCGTTTCAGGACCCAAATTCCCACCTACCTATTCAACCATGTGCATAAACTTCTATCCCCCACTGCAAACTAAAATATCTCAACTGCTTTCCCCTTAGGCTGGGCATGAACCAACAGTTCTTTGCCTTTGCTTGTGCTATTTCTTTGGCCAGGAATGGGCCCTCCCATCACTCTTGGTCCATTTGGTAAACTCCTCATCCTTTAAGTCTCAGTACAAGTATGGCCGCCTTCTCTGGCCACCCTCTCCAGACAGAATGAGATGCTCCCTTCTCTCTATGCCCCTCACATGGACAGTTATACAAACACAGCCTCATGTGACCATCTCTCCCGGCAACCGTACCACCTAGTCTGGATCCTTAGGGCCCAGCACAGTTTCTAGCCAGTAGTTGGTCTCCATACACGTTTGTTGTTGAATGAGTCAGTAGCTATGCTGTGCTCACTTTCTCATTGACATATCAAGGAAATTCTTTACTGCTATAGCCACTCAGGCTATGCACTGCACACCTGCAGGGGGCACTGACATAAACTGAAATAAGGATGGCACCCCTGGATTTTGAAGTACACAGCAGTATTGGTGGACCTGCTTACAGACCATCCTGGCAGGCAAGCTACAGGAACAGAATTACCTCTCCCCAACCCCTGCCAAGGTCCGTCAGAATAGATTTTGTCTTACTTACTGGATATGTGACTTTGGACAAGTTACCTAACCTCTCTGTGCCTCAGTACCTTCATTTGTAAAAGAGGGATAGGGCTTTCCTGGTGGTGCAGTGGTTAAGTATCC